CTTAATTTCTTAAAAGATATTTGAAAACCAAGAGGCGTGTGAAACAGGACATAGTAGAAAGATTGCAAAGCAGAAGTACTTAATTTTCCTTAAGCGCATTGCACTGGTGGGTTTATTAGTAACTATCTGTCCATCTGATGGTCTGCAAAAAAAGAAAAGTGGCAGATCATAGGGTGGTCAGAGAAGTTCTGGGGAGAACAAGGTGTGGACAGGTGTCACCGCTGTCCTGGGGTCGCACATCTGTGCCAGGCCTCGCCGTGGACCAGACGGGAAGTGTATGTCCTACAGCACTGATGGCCTGAGTTTCTGCCCTGATTGCCATTCTTGCTTAGAATTCCCAAACCAGAAAGTGTCACTGAGTCCAGAGCTGTTTTACTCACCGCACAGCAGACCAGTAAATTAGGAGACGAGGTGTTGGGGCAAGGAAAAAATGACTTTATTCAGAAAGCCAGCAGGCCGAGAAGATGGCAGACTAATGCTCTGGAGAACCATCTTCCCCAAGTCAGACTTCAGGCTCCTTTTATACTAAAAGGAGGAGGGGGCGTTGATAGTTGCCAATTTCTTGGTGTCAGAATCCTCTGTTCTTGCAGCTATCCGTGTGGGTCAGGTCATGATACTCCTGTAAACCTCCAACAGGACAAATGTTATTCTCTGTTCTGCAACTTTTTATCTCTGTATGAACGGCTGTGTTACACCCTTAAAGGTCAGAGCCTTGAAAATGGGCTCTCCTGTGTATCTCAGGCTCCAGGCAACATTCTTTTACAAAAGGTGCAGAACCAGCGTGACTAAGCACAGGAAACAGAGAAGGGGGTTAGAGCTAAAAGAACAGGTCCAATATGGAGTCAGGTTTGTTCTTCCCTATTCCAAAAGCAACCAGGGACTCACAGTGTAAAAGAAGTCATCATGTCACAGCTTCTCTGAGTGCCCAATGGCTCTAGAGCTATAGATAAAGTTTTATTTTCTAACTAGAAATTTAAATAGTTGTCTTTTGTCCTCCTTCAGGCCTAAGAGGGAGTCTGAAAGGTAAACATTTTCTCAGCTCTTTTGAAAATGTGGGCTAATGAAAAGCCATAACATTGAAAACTGGGTCATTTTAGGCAATTTTTTAAAATGATCATCTCCATCACAGAAGAAAACAAAGCCAGGTTAGCGATCTTGAAAGCCCTTTCTTCCTCTCTCTGGGTTCCCCGTAGGCATGTGACTTACTTTCCAAGGCAAGGATCAGAAGACATGGTCTTCATAATGCAGACTTACTCATGGGGAGCTAGCTGATGTAGTTAGTAGCAAAACTGTTCCAGAAGGTGCAGGACCGTGTACCATATCCACAGGTAGTCAGGACCCGGTGGATGGCTCTAGTCATCGGATCTTTTTCTTGAAGCAGCGTTTTGTTTTGTTCTGGTTTGCCTTTGCTTTTGCCTTTGCTTTTGCTTTTGCTTTTGCTTTTGCTTTTGCTTTTGCTTTTGCTTTTGCTTAATAAGGAAAAGTACATTTTGCCCCTTAAAGTGGTTCACGTAATTCTCACTTAGGAAGTTGGGGCAGCAGGGGCTGGGGGGACTGCTGCTACTTTCGTGCTATTGCTTCCCCGCAGCGACCACATTATCCTGTGAGATCAGAAAGTGTCCTATTTTGCAAACACAATCAACAGTTAAATTTACCTGGCACCTTTTATATTCTCTTGTTGTAAACCTTCATTTAGAGACAAGGAGATAGGACGTGGGTTGGAAAGCAGTTGTTGGCCATGTGTGGATTAACCATTTCCCCTGCCAAGTCCTTGTTGGGGTCGGGGCAGTACCGAAAGGGCACAGATGAAGAGCAGACGCCATGAGGTCAGACCCAGGCTGGTCTGCTGTGCGCCGGGGGCGGTCTTTCTGCATCTCCCGTCAGTGCAGCAGGCAGGTGGTACCCTTGAATATCAGTCCAGGCGATGGACTCCTCATTCTTCTCGCTGTTTACACCCCCCCATAGTCGGAGATGGAGAGCACGGGCCCCACCCTCATGGGAACGTGCTGAGTGCATGCAGAGCTCAAGTGCAAAGAGACGCTTATCCTTTCGTCCTTGACTTGGTCTGTTTCCTGGTCACCAGTTAAGTGAAAACAATCAAATTAAAATAACTGTTTTTAAAAGCAAGGCCTATGGGGATTCCTGTGACTACCACAGATGCTAAAGAAACACAGCTGTGATGTGAGCACCGTCCCTCCCACCCTCCCCCCGCCCCAGCCAGCAGAGCATCTGTGTGTCCAGAGTGGAAAGAAACTGGTGTGGCGCAGTGTGGCTCTGCCTCGGAGGTCAGGAGCATTTTCTCTGACTAGTGGAGCAAGTGCTTCTTTCCCGATCCATTGTTGACCTCCTCCGGTCAGTCTGTCTGTCTGTCTCTCATCCTGCGGTGAGTTAACCAATAGCTGTGGATCTACTGGAAGACATCAAGGTCTTCCTCAGAGTCCATTCCCTTCTTCATCTTCCCACAAAAAAACAGAAGTCTGAAAACTTTCACATGGGTGGAGAAGGCAGAAGGGAAATTAAATTGGTAATTACATCACGACAAACTCAAAGCAGAATTAAATTGTTATAAGGAAAGTCAAATAATAGTTATTACTCAACTGTAAAGTAGTTGTCATTCATCGAGTAACAAAGACACTATTCAGAAAAAGGGGGTGACTTTAAAATCCCTGAAGCTATTTTAAGTGCATATTTTATACAGGAATAGAAGTTACATGTCTGAATAAATCTTTTATCACATAACAGTCTCGTCCTAGATGGAATTAACTAGTGATTTTTTTACTGTATTTTTATTGGCTTAATTTATTAATAACCTGAAAATGTTTCTGCTTGTGTTTGTCCCGCATCGCACAGCAGCTTACTCGTGGATGAGTAACGTACATTGTGACTCTGTTAACACAGCTCTAGGTGTGTAGTACATCCGGTCTTGGTCTGCCCCATGTTTTTTTTCAAAATGACAAATGCGGTGTAAAGCTATTATGATAATGAGATATCAGCAAAGACCATGACCAAGGTCCCTTCGTTTAAAATGGGCAACTTCAAACTCTTAGCTCTTACGCCTGTAGTGTTATCATTTCCCTCTTGGATGTTATAAAATGATGTGTCCTGTTGTTTTGTTGCTTGGGTGTATTAGTGGGAGGTGGGGCAGAGTCAGGACAAGGCTCTTTTCCAGCCAGTCCCTGATGAGGGCTGAGCTGTAGAGTAGCAGCAGTTTGAACACACGGCAGGCCATGGAGCAGACGTGGACTCTACAGACTGGCAGGATGAACCCTGCGGACGGTGCCTGTGCCTGTCTCCAGGTGCCCCAGCTCTGTCCGTCCAGCTCCGCACACTCTGGTTGCAGAGGTCGAGCTTTATTTGGGATCAAAGCCCAAAAGGCTGTCCCCAAACCCTGCAGTTGTGAATCATTCAGTGATGAATTATTGGACTCTTACCACAAGGCATGGACTCTGCACCCACAAAAATGATGACCACACAGCCCCTGTGTCCGGGCGTCCACACCCTGGGTTAGAGCATTGGACCGTGCCATCCGTCTGTGGTCAGGTCTGAGCCACCTGCAGGCAGGCGCAACTGTGTCCACTCCCTGCGGCTGTGCTGAGGGGCAGCTCGGCTGATAAGGCACCACCACACCCATAAAAAGGAATAATGAACTGGTTCTGCTGAACCACAGACCGATTGCAGAGTATCGGCCATTGCTGGAGGTGGCCAACAGCCAAGTGCTTTAGGAGGGTGGAGATCAGGGGAGTCAAAAGGAGCTTCAGCTCTAAGAGGGGAGCTTAGAAAGCCGTCCTGGGGGTGTGTGAGGATGTGAGTTCCTGGAACTGTGTTCTCTGGCCCCAGGGTGTTTCAGAACCGCTTCCCCACATCTGCTCTGCCTTCACATCTTCCTCCTGCTCTTCCCTTATTTTCCAGTTGGTGCCAGGAACTCTGAGAGTAGCCATGGCAAAGACCAGAAGTCAGCATTACTCAGATGATCAAACCATGCCAGTACAATATTACTAACTTAGTTACATGTGAAAATGGATTGTGGTGCGATAAGAACATGTCTGTATGTAGAGATATAGGCGTGAAATCAAATCCAATGGGAGGTTTGTTTAAAATCCTCCTATGAAATAAAATAAAGCAAAAGTGGAAAAATCTTAAAAAAAAAAGTCAGTGTTACTAAGTCCTCCCTGCCACTGCCTCCTTAGACTGTTGAGTCCGTGAAGGCAGAATGTGGAATAAAGTGGAAATTAAAAATCTCCAATTTTTTTCACCGGTCAACTGATAGCAGAGGACATTTGCATTATAAATTGAACAGGAAAAAAATGTATATCTGGCTTATAACATGAAGATTAAAGACTCTGGGCATAATAAGGCCAAATCCTTAAGTAAATGGACTTCTAAGCTCCATTAAAAATGAAGAGAAAACTCTGGCAGAAGTTCTTAGAGAATTTTAGGCTTCAAGTCATGAAAACTTAGCTTACCTACTCTCACAGTTTTAACCAAAAATAACCTTCTTTCAGTTTGCAGTTGGGAAGAAAAACTAGATCTTTATATCTCTCAGGAGAATATTGAAAGATGGTGATAGAATTGAGATATTGAGAGAAACGTTAAATTTTCTGTGTTAAATATTCAAATAGGGTAGGAATGAGCATTCAGCCTTTTTTAATAGATGGTACAGATAAAACGTGGGCTCACTCTTCGTCCCCTGTCTGTGTTCGTAGCATCTTAACTAAAGGAAAACAGAAATAAATGAAATATTTAACACATAGAGTAGTTTAATAACCCATCATCTCATTCCTGTGAACATTCTCTTTCTTCCTTGACTCGTACATTTTTTTTTTAATGAAGGCACCGGCAATTGCACCCAGGACCTCGTGCATGCTAAGCACGCGCTCCACCACTGAGCTGTGCCCGCCCTCCCTCGCGCATTTCTGAAGAACAGCCTCCGCCATTAAGATCCCTGTGTGTGTTTACTGCACCAGGTTGTGATGCATAGTGTCACTTTCTCTGTCTTCCAGAGCTTCTTTGAAGGGCAGTCTGCACCGTGGGACTCTGCTAAGAAGGATGAGAACAGAATGAAGAACAGATACGGAAATATTATCGCATGTAAGTGTTGACGGCGTAGCTGTGCTGTGCCGTAACTTCCTTTTCACGTCTGCTAAGACTGACCAGCAGTCTCATGCAGCGAGAATGTGCAGAGCAATTACTGCCTTCCTCTGCCTGGGAGAGCTGGTGTTCTGCTCGTAATAGGAAAAGCTAGCTAAGTAGCCCTGCTGCGTTCGTGCGTCTTGCTGTGGGGCTCGTTTTACTGTTAGATTTAAGGTTTGGGTGACGGAGGCAATGGTGAAATGCTGAGAGAGAAGATGCATGTGGGAAGGAGCTAGCACGCCAGGCCTGACGTCTCCCAGCTGCTGCAGGAGCAGGAGCAGGAGCCACGATGCGAAGCACGCCTGCTGCCGGGAGTGGGTTCTCAGCAGACGTGAGCTCGTTAAACCTCGGGACTCTTGGGGTGGGTAGGTCAGTTAGAGCCCCATTTTGAGGACAGGAAACTGAAACTCGGAAGTTAAATAATAGTCCTGTCTCACAACACTCATTAGCAGAAGAGCTAGGATTCTGTCTCGGAAAGCCCCAGCTCCAGTGGAGCTGCCTGCTACCGACCCGTGACGCCTCGCACGGTTTTTACTCGAGCCCGGCCTCATTAACGTTCCATAACAGTCCGGGCCGCGCGCTAGACAGGCGAGCCTCCTTCTCCCGGGGCAGAAGCCACCCGTCCCCCGCGTTGAATGGCTCACAGCCACACATGGCTGCACCCAGGCACTGACAAGGCACTCACGGAATCGATGCTGTGTCCAAAGCCACGTCAGTTAAAGAAGCAACCACCACCACTGTGTGCAGTCGGCTTAGCTCCTAGCGCGTTGTGTCTGACTACTTGCAAGAAGACAAACTTGGATGGTTTGAGTAGCCCAGGGGAGCTATACGCCAGCGTCACTGATTGCGAATATGCAGTTGGCTTTTATCTGCCTGTGTTAACATTTCTTGGTAGGACAGTTGAGATCCTACAGCAGCCCCATCGATTTTTCAGGGATTGTGGAAACAGCCTGTGTCTGGGCTGTCCGGGGCAGCACGTGGAATGTGGCTGGTGTGACAGAGGAATTGAGTTTTATGCCGTATTTAATTTTAATTATTTTTCATTTAAATCGTACATGAGACTAGGGGCTCCCATACTGGACAGTGCGGATCACAGTGTGTGTTATTCAGAAAAAGCAGGGTGGGGAAAGGGTACAGCTCGGTGGTAGAGTGCATGCTTAGCATCCATGAGGTACCTCCTGTAAGAATGAATAAATAAATAAACTTAATTACCTCCCCCCACAAAAAAAAAAAGAAAGAAAGAAAGAAAAGGAAAAGCAGGGCATTGGGGTTTACATATAATATGAGCTGAGCCTGACCCTGCCCTGCTCTCCCTCTGCCTCTCCCAAAGCCGAACCACTGGTTTGCAGGTGACAGGTGCTGCTTCGAGTGTCTTGTTTGTTCGCTTACTGAGGGCTTCATGTTTAGAGAGTCCTTTTTAGAGAGATGTTCCCCTGAGATCAAAGGCATAATGGCCCCTCAGGGAATTCAGTCAACACTGTGAGCATGGACACTGGGCCCCTACTGAGAATCTCAAGGTGATGGAGACGATGTCCCCACCCCCCCGGACAGAGTGGCCCGGCAGATGCCAGCGCGGTGACTCATAATTACTGACCCCCTGTAAACACTTCACACCTGCGAGCTCACTCCTCTTCATCAGCCTGTGACGGAGCTAATGTTATCCATTTACAGGAGAGGAAACCGGGGCCTCAGGAGGGAGGAGGGGTGGCACCGTTAACTAGATGGGGGCAGGATGCCACCCCAGGAGCAGCTCTCGTAACCACCAGCCAGCGGATGTTGGATGGTTGGTTTCCACCGGCTTCATGAGCCTGCAGTTTTTGCCATTAGCATCATAATCTGCCTGGGCCAGTGTGACAGGAGGCAGCTTGAGGAGACTTTCCCCACCTCCGTCCCCATCCTTCATCTCCCCAGCCACCCCAAATAAATATACAAACTAAGGAAAAAGTGTGCCCTCACTGTTGAAGGAGGTGCCCTATGCCCGGGAGGTTGGCATCTCCTTTTGGAGCCCGTGGGGAGACTTAGATGATTATACAAGTAAATAAAATAAAAGTCAGGGGTCCCAGGGGAAGACACAATACTGCAGGAACGCAGATGTGGGGGTGGACTCACTCCAAACGATGTGAAGCCAGCCGACTCGGGGTGAGCACTCCCTTCGCAGGTGGGAACCCCGGGGGTTTGAGGGGCGGAAGGAAGGCCAGGTGACCAGAGAGAGAGGTGAGAGCCAGACCTGCAGGGCCGTCTAGGGAAGAGTAAGTGTTTCAGGCTTTATTCTAAGAACAAGGGAAACCTCAGTAAAGGGTCAGGAGGAGCCACCGAATTTACATTTGGAAAAATTAATCTAACTGCAGTAAAAAATGAATCAGAAGGGGACCTGGCTCGGGCTGAGGCGAGCATGGGGACCCACCGCTTTTACATGGAGGGGCGGGTCCTGACATTCACCTGGACTCGGTCACCTGTCCCCTCCCACTGCGCTTCCCAGCCGCTAGTGAGGTGACTGAGAGGAGAGCGAAACCTTTGACCCAGTCTGCCTCCCACCCCCCGGTTCTTTTTGCCAAAAACCCAGTTTCCACGGCCCGTGCCGAGGGCTTCGCGTTTCCAGGACTTTGTGTGAAAGCAGTGTGCGACTCCAGCAGTAACCATGTCGCTTTTGAGGGACCAGTACCATCATGATTCCTTTACTGCTTTATCATGAAGGCAGGCGAAGGGAGAGACCGGGAAGGGGTGAATTTAGGGGGTGAGAAAGGACGGGCGAAGGGAGCTTTCCGCTTACAGATCGGGCGGACGAGAGTAAGACAGAAACACATCAGCACAACATGTTTAGGGAAGAAAAGGGTAAAATCTAGGAAAATCAGGCAAAATAAAACAGGAGTCCAAGGATCTGCCAAGAGTCTGAAAATAAAGAGTAGGGGTCTGCGACAGAGGGTCCAGGTGAGAAAGTCAGAAACAGGTGGCCTGACAAGTTAGCCACACAAAGCCAACAGCAAGAGTGCAGGTCAGCGTGAAGCCACCCAGAGCTCAGCTCCAGGTCCCTTATGCTTCTTGCCCTGAACCCGCGTGGCTGGCGGAGCCCCGCAGCGGGCAGCAGCTGGCGGCCAGGCCGGAGCAGGCGTTGGGGAGGGCCGGTGGCCAGCACTTCCTGCCGGCTACCTCGACCCTGCTGCCTCTGGTACCTTGAACCAGCGCGGCACCGGCCCTCAGCACGGTGTAGCCGCAGGAATAGCGAGGCCGTGGTCTGCAGCAGTCAGCTGCAATTAAAATTGATCTGGGGGCTCCCGGCAGAGGGCACATGTTACTTAGTGATTCCAGGTTACCTTAAACATCTCATCAGTATTTAGCAGAAAGGGGGGAGTGGTTAGCGATGAAAGATGACCGGTGACAGACGCCATCCCTGCCACTGCAGTAACACCTAACCACGTCCAAGTCACAGCTGCAGGCGCTTTCCCAGACCCACTGCGTTTAATAGGAAAGTTTTAAAATATTTGCAGCTCTACTATTACTTGATTAAAAGAGCACAAATGACATGTTTTCAGGACTGAGAGTGGAACACAGGAAGCTGCTTTTAATCTCTAGTTACCAAACCTCTACTGTGTGATCTCAGGCCCACGTGCAGGCGCACACACACACACACACGTAGATACATACACACACACACACATACACACACACACACACGTAGATACATACACACACACACACACACACGTAGATACATACACACATACACACATACACACACATACGTATAAATGCACAAGTGTAGACATGCATATACCCATATACATATGAGCACACATGTGTACACATGTGTACGCTTGCATGTGACGCATAAATACACATATATACACACATAGGACACACACATACACACACCTGTGAAACACATAAATACATATATACACACATGCACGTATGTGCGTATACACACATAAATGTGTGCGTGTATACATACACATACATGCATATAAACACAATACATATAGCAACATAAACGCATGCATATACACACACACCATAAATACACACGTGCACACATGCAGACATACGTACGGAAGAGTGCCAGGAGATTCTAACTGTGCAGCAGTAAGCAATGGTTTGTTACGACCAGGTCTTTATGTGCCTGTTTCTTAACCCAGAATGCAATTTTTGCCCTGTTTCATGTAGTAAGGCCTTTCTTGAAAGAAATTAGAGGAATAGCAACAGACCTTTGATGTGGGCTGAGTTTCTCAGAGTGGCAGTCTGTTACCTTTCTTGATGGGGTAGCACCGACTTGTGATAACAATATAAACATTAGTGGGGTTTTAATCATATTCCAGCCATCCGTGGCTAAATGAGTTTCTTTTCGTTTCCAATTATAAAAGCAGTTCATACACATTAAAGAAAATTTGTGCTGTAAAGAAAAGATGAGGAAATTGCCCAGGACCTCACCAACCAAATTCAAATCCTGCTAACATTTTACTTCTATTTCCTTCAAATCTCTGTATTCTATGCCTTGAAGTGGTTGACTTTATTTTTTAAAATAAAAATAGATTTATTGTTTTCTTTCTGATTACTAAAGCAATATAAAGTCTGTAGACAGTTGAAATAGTACATAAATTCATAAATAAGAAAATGAATATTCCTCCAAATTTTACCACCCAGCAAAAGCCACATCCTTTACACTGCCCACCATGCCTTCCCACGTAGACAAATGTGTTCTGTTGTTTCATATAAATAGACTCTTAACACACCTGCTGCTCTGTGACCTGCCCTACAGCACCCTACAGTATGTCACAGAGCACTTCCCAAGTAAAGAAATTAAAGGTACAGGAACCCTTTTTAATGGTTGTTTCAGATCCCATTGTCTGTTAAGATCACTGTTGATCAATCCTCTGCTGATATCATTGAATGGTTGAAACTAGGTGGGGACAGAATAACTTGTGTTTCAGAAAAGTAGCTCTCCTCACGAATTCACTGGAGAG